TGTTTCCAGGCTATTCCAGATGATTCCAGGTTACTCCAGGTGTTTCCAGATGTTTCCAGGCTACTCCAGATGATTCCAGACTAACTCCAAATCCTGACACATCTCATGACATCTAAGGCGATTTTTGACATTTTCACCTTTTAACATAAAATAAAAAAAACAACAACTCACCTTGTGGATGTTTTCTCCTCCTCTCTGCATGTTCTCCTCTGCGCCTCCTCTTTGTCTTGTGTCTTGGTTGAATTTTGTCATCAGTTCTTTGTCTCCTCTAATCCTCACACTTCCATCTGTCACTCTCCTCCTGCTCCTCCTCCTCCCTCTCCCTCTTATTCTTCATCTCCTCCTCCGTGACCTCTGACCTCTTCTACTTACTGTTTAATCTGACAGATTATCAGTGCGCTCTGACTCACAGCTGACATCCAACCAGAATCCTTTCTTTGGTACATTGTGACACCACCTCAGTTCAGTTTCTCATGGTAGCGTTTTATTCTTTTATATTGTTGTCACCACTGTTTGTTAAATACACAGCAAAATAAATACATTTTATACAAAATTATAATGAAAGAATTCATGTGAATAAAATCTTTTCTTTTTTTATCCGCCACAAACAAACCAATCAAAATCAATTTTACAACGCTGCAGTACAGCTTTCTTCCTGATGATGGCACACACATATACACAAGAAGAAACACAAGCTATCAATACATCAGCTGATGATGCAAAAAAGACTGTGATACCGGGGTGTACCAGCAGGGGGCGTACTATCATTGAAGTCAGATTAATTGCTCATGCCCAGGCCAGATTTCAGGAAAGCGAAACTTGTGAACCAATCACTGTCACTCACCCAACCTCATAATGCAGGTCAGCGATTTTAGCTCACAAGAACTCAAATGTACTGATACAGCAATGACACGAACTGACCACAGGAGGCAGCAGTGGACCAGCAGGTGTGAACAACAGCACACAAGACTTGACATATTTAATCAACTGATCTCAGTCTTCAGACAGCTGATTGGTCAAACTGTGTGCTCTTGGTTGGCTGGAACTGTTGAGGAACAGTGCAGAAATGCGTCCACTCTGATCCAAAATCTTGGATTTTTTATATGGCATTGGAGAATAAGTTATATCTATCTATGAATATTTATATATAATATATATTACATATGTATTTCTGCTTCCTGTAGGGGTCAGTGTTTCAATAGAAGTAGTCACTTCTATTAACTTTGTTAGTGAACAAACTGTTAGAGATGACCACTGGACCTAAACCTCCAATTGGGCTCTGTTGGAAGTCCTGTATCTAAACCTGGAACTGCAGACTCAGTTGTCAAACGGTTCCCAGAAGTCTGCACTGCACTACTCCCAGGCCGGCACAAGGGGGCATCACACCAGTCCTCCAGAAGACAGACTAGAGTAGAAATGAGACTCAAAAGAAGAACTGTGAAAGTGAGTTTCAGTTAAAGGACTTTGGTCACCTGACACCTGAACGGAGAACGACCAGACTGAACACAGTCGAGCCATGGCCCCAGAAGTGACGACGATGACGAGGCCCGAGTTCAAACCACTGAATTTAAAGCCACCTGAAAAATTAGACAAAAGAGTCGGAGAGAAGAAGAGTCCAAAGAATTGGACAGAAAATTCACCAGAACAGAAAAAGACAAAGATGCACGTTCCCATAACAACAGCCAAGGGTGAGGGGGTGTGGTCAAATGTAACAGCTCAATTGTATGTGATAAAATTCCAAAAAGCGGTCAGCAGCAGAGGGCGCTCATCATCTGCAGTATTAATGCAGTTAACAATAGACGAATCAGAGCAATTTGAACTGATGTAGGATAAGGTGAAATGTTTTTTAGTTTGGGTGGAGTGTTAGGCCGAGACCGGGTGGAGTGTTAAGCCGAGACCGGGTGGAGTGTTAAGCCGAGACCGGGTGGAGTGTTAAGCCGAGACCGGGTGGAGTGTTAAGCCGAGACCGGGTGGAGTGTTAAGCCGAGACCGGTTGGACTGTTAGGCCGGGACCGGTTGGAGTGTTAGGCCGAGACGGGGTGGAGTGTTAGGCCGAGACCGGGTGGACTGTTAGGCCGAGACCGGTTGGAGTGTTAGGCCGAGACCGGGTGGAGTGTTAGGCCGAGACCGGGTGGAGTGCGGAGGTCGAAACTGTCAGGAGTCTTAGGGAGGGACAAAGGTCACGGACTCTCACATAAACCCTGAGCAACATCTACGTACTACAACAGTACCTGACCCAGCCTGACCACAGGGGGCAACAGCAACATGTCATCACACAAACCTACTAATAAATAACTGTCAATTCCCCCCCCCCCCCCCACCTCCCCATCTCGACCCATTCTCAACACCTGGAGCGACAACAATGAATCTTTGGGTGAAAACCAGTTTGGTGCATGTTTTAGTCACAGCCATGGTTTTTCTTCCTGTCCTCACTGGGGCCTCCGGGAGAGGGCGGGGGGTTGCATGGTACTTATGGTGATCCACGGTTTGAGGAATGAAGAAAACAGATCATCTAAGCGACACATCCTCCTGGCCCAAAAAAAGACTGGTCTTCCTGTAAACCTTGTCATCTTGTGCTGTTCTCTTTTCTGAAATTAGATAAAGGTCGGGTTCTGGTCTAGGGAGTTTTCTTTTAGGGTTAGGGTCAGAGTTCAGGAGAGCAGAGAAAGCAGAACGAAGAAAAGGTTAATCCATTTAGTTGGTTAAAAGTGAGCCATGGATGAAACAGAGGGAAACAAAGGAAATGAAGCAAAATGACAGACATTTGGTCACATGACATTATTTAAATTGGCATTCCTTTGAGACGGACCCTAACCCACTTCATTTAAAATGAGCTAACCATGGACCTAGAGGAATAGAGTTTAGACCAAGTTTTACCTGTGGTGTTGGTGCTAGATGTAGTCCAGGGATCATTGCCCTTAGATGACCCATCTCCAAATGGGTCAGTCGACGGAGAGAAGTCTGAAGGTGGAACTGAGACTTGCCCTCTTTGCGGATCTGACAAAAAATGTAGATGGTTCTCTGACACGATAAAACTTTTCTGTAGCCATTACAAAACAAATGTCTCATTTACATAATAAAGGGTAGGTACTGTTGTTCCTTACCTTCTGCCACCCATGGGTCACTGACTGGGTTGGATGTATCTTTAAAGGGGTCAGATGTATCAGTAGGTAAGAACTCACTTGCTCCACCCCCCCAGGGATCGGAGTCCATGGCAAGTGGAGAACGGACTGCCCATGGATCTGCACTGCCTTGAGGTGAACTCACTAATTGAGCAATAAAGGAATCAGAGTTTCCATTTTCAGGAGGAGTTGCTTGTACATTAACTTGGCTGTTAAATTCAGATGGTGCAGAGGAAGGATTCTCTTCGGACGTTATTGTGGGCAGAGTTACAGGCTCCTGTTTTGATGTTCTATATTGTCCAGTGAAGGAATCCTTCTTGGACATAGGTGCTGCGGTGACAAATGGATCATTTTCTGTTTGTTGTGTTGGTGTGGATGGAGCATCTTGAGCTGGATTAGCTTCTTCTTTAGGACGTGATGTGGAAGTCAACTGTTCATCTGGAAATGGGTCTTCCTTATGGAACATTGACCCTGGTGTAGTGAAAGGGTCATCTTTTGGGGTGTGGTCTTCTATTGGGGTGTTGAAGGGATCATCCTTTGAGGTGTGAAGGGATCATCCTTTGAGGCTGAAGGGATCATCCTTTGAGGTGCTGAAGGGATCATCCTTTGAGGTGTTGAAGGGATCGTCTTTTGGGGTGTTGAAGGATTCGTCCTTTGAGGTGTTTAGGGAATCGTCTTTTGGGGTGTTGAAGGGATCGTCTTTTGGGGTGTTGAAAGGATCATCTTTTGGGTTGTTGAAAGGATCATCTTTTGGGGTGTTGAAAGGATCGTCTTTTGGGGGGTTGAAGGGATCGTCTTTTGGGGTGTTGAAAGGATCATCTTTTGGGGTGTTGAAAGGATCATCTTTTGGGGTTGTAAATGGGTCAGTGCTGGATGATCTAAAGAGAGAGTCTCCATTCCTGCCTTTGGAAGGATTTGCTGAAATGTAAGGATCTGGTTTATCCCCCGAGACTACAAAAGGATCCTCCTGGTTTTTGAAGGTTTCAGATGCTTCATTTTCATTAGTTTTACAGGTCTTTTCCCAAAGATGGCTGTGGGCTGCTTCCTCAAATGTCTCAGGACTTATGGGTGTGCCCCAAGGATCTGTTTCCTCTTTAGAGTCTTCAAGGACTCTCCACCCATCTGGCTTCACCTCCCCCTCTGTCTTTTCATTTTCCCATGCCTGGCCTTTCACATAGGTTCCTTTACCTGCGTCCTCCCACTTCAACTCATCATCACTCATCTTGGCCTGGTACAAAAACAAAACAACAACTTCTCAGTTTTTTTTGTTTTTTTTTAAATTTTCTTTAAGAGAAAGTAAGTGAAGAACATCCACTGCCTGTGTGTGAACCCTGACCTAAAAGACTCACCCTTCTCTCCTCTTCTTTTTTCTCTGTTTCCTGTCGCTCCCTTTCCTCTTTGCGGGCAGCAAAGGAAGCAGCTAGATCAGCCACAGAAGGAATGTTATCCAAGGACGGAAGACCACTTGCTCCAGGAACATAAACTGGTCTGTAGTTTGGATCCTTGATGGCACCAGCGGATGAAGCTAGTGCCAAAGGAAAGAAGATTAGGATTAGAAAATATTTCAAGAGATACCTTCTGAAATAATAACCATGTGTTCCAGTAGAGGACGCTAAGAACATCCCTGTATCTCTATTTCATTAGTAAAGGATGAAAACAGGAAAGGACTTTTAATTAGTGCGTTAGTTGAAGGGGTGTGGTTCCACCTCAGCTTGTAATTCAACCCTCAGAGTAATTCATGGTGATGCACGCAAGCTCAGAAAATAATCACTCTCAGGATTTGGAGTTTTCCCAGATCTGTGGAGTAAGTTTAAATTTCATTAAGATCTCACCAGCAGAACTTTTTGACGTCTTCTCTCTGGTCTTCACTGCAAATTCTCTTTCCTCCCTTAGTTTCTCATCATCTTCCATCAGAACGAGGACGACTTTTGCCTTCTCTCTGACGTTAACGCCCTGAGAATAATAGTCTGACCTTAGATTCAAACATGACCTTAAATAAAGTCCATTCTGAAGCTGTTGTAGGAAAATGTTGTCCAAGTACAAACCTGGTCTTTTCCATCTTTCTCCACAAATCTGTACTCAGTGAGGGCTTTGACGATGTAGACGTTGTCCTTCATTTTTAGTAAGACCCGATCATCACCTGTCTTTAGCAAATACTCCAGCAACGTAAGGGACTAAAAAAAACAAAGAATCAGAAAAACAGGACGTGTGTGATCTGATTTATCAGAACCATTGGTACTAATTCTTGGTTACTCACCTTGTGTATGTGTCTCCAGTTCTTGTCATCCTTCAGTCTTTTCCACAACATGGTCATGATCTCATTACAAGCTACCACGTTGTAGGTCAGGTCTGAGATGTCAGCCATCTGGGAACTGGAAGGGCCCCATGGGTCGTTAGAGGTGGCTTCTCTGACCTGCAGAAGGTATATGAATGTCACGCACACATAAATACTCATACAATGCGTAATGATGTTGAATGTCTGTAAGCTCCTTATTGTTGTAGGTTTTTTTTTTTTACAAACGACAACAGGCAACAGAATGACAACAGTATATATTATCTTCTGTGTACACAATAGTATTACAGTTGTAAAAACAGGCAACGGAACA